TGCAAACCTCCAGAGCACACTCACATCTGTGCTTGTGGGTTTGCCTTGGTTTATTGTGCCTGAAGATGACCAGCTGTTCCTTTAGTACTTTGTTCTCTAACCCCCTCACCTGAGGGTGGCAGGGTGGGCACCCCTCACTGCCCAGCACCTTCTCTGGCATCTCTAGGGGTGGGGAGTAAAGGAGGATGAAACATTCCTAACCCATCCTCTTCTCCACTCACTGCCACAGTACCTGATCAGCCACATCCCTCCGGACCAGGAGGGGCAGGTGGTGGGTGATGGTCAGAAGGAGGCTGACAGCCCGATCCTGGGGCAGGAAGGGGAGCAGCCGGGCCACTAGGGCTTTCCCCTTCCTCACGGAGAGCACCTGCAGGAAGCCATCTGCTGCCTCCCTACAGGTCAGACAGGAGAGCACTGCAGGGCTCTGCAGAGAGGACAGGGCTACATGCAAGAAAGGAGAGGCAGAAGCAAAGCCAAGGTCTTTGCTGAGCCCTCCTTTCCTGGGTCGTGGTGTGACCCTCCCACACTCACTCCTGAGTATTCTGCTCGTGGGTCTTTAAGGCCTGGAAGAGCTTCTCCACCTGGTTGCTGTGCTGCTCAGAGTCGCAGGGCTGTAGGGGCCCATCCTTCTGGCCCTCTTCTATCTCTAGTAACTGAAGAAACATCTGGGAACATGAGGGTGGGGAGAGAGAAGCAAGGGGTCAATGAAAGCATTGTCTATTCTCAAGGGAGGTAAGGAACTCATCTCTAAGTCGCCGATACCTCACCTTCTCAATCCGGTCCAGTACCTGAAGCCTCTGACTGCTTGCAGCTCCTGTCTCCTGGAAGAAAAGAGTCCCTGGCTGTCAGCCACACCTCCACAGCCATAGCCCAGGCCTAGGCCACCTAGAAAGTGAGCTGGAAAGGCTGGAACACAAAGTCTGACCACCCTTCTTCCTCATTCTCAGGTCACAATCTGAACTCAAATACGAGTGCTCCAGACCTTTCTCCAAAACAAGGGAGAGAAAAAGGCTCTAGGAAGGTAATGCTCCTACCTGCTCTTGAGTTCCATGGGGCACAGCATCAATAGCTCGGCGAGGGCTAAAACACGTCGATACAGCTACCTGGCCCAGGGAACCCTCAATTCGAACCACTGCACAAAAGAAGTCAGGAGAGGCACATGACTCTCCCTCATCCACCCAGATGTCTAGCCCAACCCAGCAGGTCAGCCGCAGTCCTACCTGACTCATAAGCCTCTGCCTTCTGAATGTAAGGTGTGACCAGCTTGAGGGACTCAACCCTGTTCCTTCGTCCGCGTATCTCTTCATCTGCCTGTTTCTTCTCTAATTTCTGATAATATTCCTGGGAGTCCAGGGAACAGACATAGCTATACTCATCTACTGAGCTTGGAGTTAAATTTCTCCAGTGCAACCTCTTAATACTCCTTTCCTACAGCATTCGTTCCAAAAATGCTCCTGGCACCTTAGGCACTTCTAGCAGCCATTCTGAAGCATCTTAAGCTTGCTGGGCCTCATGCCACCTGTCTTGGGGGCTCCATACTATGGACTTGAAAAGATAGTACCACCTCCAGATCTAATAGAAAGGCAGAGAGCAAAGCAGACAGCCAGGAAGCAAACCTGTCCCAGTGTCTGCCACCTTCCTGCATTCCTTATTCCAAGGTACACAATGCACAGCCTTACTCTCCCCCTCCCTGTTTTAATTTGGTGATCCTACCTGTGCTCGCCACAATCAGTTAGCTGATGGCACAAGGACCATCAGTAGTTTGAGGTACAGAGATGGAACTATGTCAGTGGGCCTCTAGGCCAGTTCTACACTTGTGGGATTTTGTGCAGCGGCTCTAATATCTTCTTAAAGAAAATTGAAATCCCAAAGTGAAATAAAGCCACTGACTGACAGTCAAAGACTGATCTGAATAAAGCTCCTTCATTTAGGAGCAATGCTGAAAATACAGGAGTATAAAATAATCGAATCAGGTGATCATGGTATAAGGAAGAGGATTCTTAAAGATTCATGCAAAGAAATGAAGGAAACTAATATCAATAGGAAGGAGATAAAGTTGGGAACCTTGGTATGGGGCTCATGGAGGAAAGAGAAAGTAAAACAACTCAGACAACCCAAAACCGGTGAACAAAGGGCAAATAGGAAGCAGGCAGAACGGAGTTCAGAGTCACTGCCAGCATTTGCTCGATTCACCAAGTTAACCCACTATTTAAAAGTTCCCTGTGTTTCAGATTTTAAAAAGTAAAAGATATCCCTCTGATGAAATGAAGGAAAGAACACTGGAAAATTATCATTGAATTTAATGGTATACCTTTTACTATTCAGTGACCATGTGAATTGCTAACAGATCCAAGGAGAAATTATACAGGAACAAATTTCTCAGAGGAGTAGAAAAGACTGTGATGGTTGTCAGCTGTGTTTATCCTTCTTCAGAGAAGAACGATTCCAATAGTTTAAGTTGAATTAATGATGCTATGTTTCCTGGAAATTCACCAAGTTACACTGAGAGGTCCAATCTAAAGGGACCTGGAATGCCCAGGGCACTTAATCGACCAAAGGTTTCTTTGTCAGTCCCCATGACAACTAATGACTTGCCTCAGAGCACAGACAGCAAAGAGTCAAACTTAAAGCAAATAAGGACAAAAATCACAATGACTCCTCAGCATTTGAATCAGAAGTTTCCTCAGTGAGCCCTATAAAAAATAAACATCTAGATGAAGATGCTTTAGAAGCTGAGGGGCACAAAGTAAAAAGACACAGGTTTGACGAAGTCAGAGAGATGGCCAAACATCTTCCAGTGAAATTTCTTCAGTTATGGTAGAGCAGACTGCAGCTCCATCTTCATCTCAGGAGAAAGACAAAGAAAGTATTTGTACCAGGCATCACTGTACAAAGGAGGATGAAGAGGATGAAGAAGAGTCTTTTATGACATCAAGAGAAATGATCCCATATATGTTTATGTATAACTGAAAAATTGTGCTCTACACTGGGATTTGACACAACATTGTAAAATGATTATAAATCAATAAAAAATATTTAAAAAAAAGATCTCAGAAAGGAAAAAAATCAAGAAAAAGAATCTGATGATGCCTTAACTGTGAATGAAGAGACTTCTAAGGAAAATAATCAAATGGAGGAAACTGATCTGACTCAAGTTGAGAGAGATTTACATTCTGAAAGCAGTGAAAATACAAGCCCTGTAAGTAGTAGTTCCGATTGCCATAAAACAGAGGAATTAGTAGCACACAATTCCAGTAAAACTGGAGAGATTCTCTCAGAATCATACATGGAAAATAAAGAAGCCACACAAGTCACAGATGAACCAATGGAACAAGACTAACTATTTAGAAACATTTAGATGCAGTATTTTACATACAGTTCTGGTTTTACACTGTATAAAATTTTATGTAATAAAGTGGACCTTTAGTTTTACAAGAGAAGCAGATTGTAAAATAAAGTACTTTATGGGATAATTCCTGAAAGAGTTGTACATGTAAGAACTGTGAATATCAACTCCTCTGGGGCCTGCCTACTGCTGACTTTTTTGATCTGGTCAAATCAGTGGTTTGTGTATATATATTTTTAAATTTAGAATTAAAAATTTTAAACTGGAAGATAATTATAATTTTTAAAACTTTTTTTTTTGGAGATTATCACTTTCAGTTTATAAATATGCAAGAACGCTTTTTGTCTTGTCTCTTTCTGACAGCTCTAGCAGTTTTCATATTTTGGTCATAGTGTCCACATTTTAACACGTGAATTATAGGGTTTCATGTTGTTTTCCAGGTTTTATTGTTTGACTGTGCATGATGGAACTTTAAGTCATATATACATATAAATATATATAATTCTAAGGGGGAAAATGTTTTATTTTTCTGTTTCTTTAAGAAGTGAATACCGTGGATACTTTTTCTATTGGTAATGATTAAGCTCACCTCTTTCAGAAGACAGTTTCTTTCTTTCCCAATTCAGACAAAATCTGGCCCTTGTGAAACCCTGGAAATCTTAAGTCTGTTGAAATACCAGGTTAAACACATTCCAAGAGATCTGTTCAAACTAAAATTCTCTTGTATACTTCTGAGGTGCCTGAGAAAAAGACTTCATTATTTATGAGAAAATGTGGTTTATCTTGGAAATTGTGTTCAAACATTAGCTTACTCTTTTGTAGAATGAATGCTTATAAAGCTGACATGAAACCATCTCAGAAGAACCCAGCAGTTTACTTTTGCTTGCTTTTCTGAACATTGAATATTACATATTTCTTTCTAAATTATTCTAGAGTATGCAAATGTTAATGGTATGAAACACCACTACAGTGGAAGAATTAATATCTTACTTAAGTAATGTACCAGAGCTAAATGACTAAAGCTTTAGAGGTGCCTAGAAACCACCATAATTTGAATGATGTTTCAAAGTGAATTAAATATTTTTGAACATGCTTTTTTGACAGCTAGTGTTGTATTTTTCAGGATCAACACAAAGCACAATGATTACTTCTAAACTGAATATTTTCAAATTCACACATTTAAAGTCATGCAAGCTGCAACTTCCCTGTCTAAATTACTGGCTGCCAAATTTATACCTGTTTCTTCAGCAGTATCTTTTGATATTTAGAATTTTTCAATTTATGTAAAGTAGGTTTTGTAGAATGTAATGTGTTCACTGCCTTTGTGAAGCAGTATATAATTGTGTAATTTCCTGTGTGTAAACTGAATGCTTGGGCTTTCAAAACAGTATTCATATAAAGCAATAGATATTAATGTTATGGGAAAAAAGTAAAAGATAACTAGATGAATGCTTATCACAAAGTCTTTTCTAAGACCCACCAAAGTCTACAGAGATGAGAAAGTCTTCATTTCCAGACAGAATAGGGGAAGTTCTTGACAAAGGAAGGAGACAAAACCTAAGTGTGCGTTTGGGGAATTGGAAATAATCCCATTTGCCTGAAGTGTTGGAGAATAAGGGGAAGGAGTTTGAATGTCAGCTTTAGAAATATGACCCCCACCCTTTAGCTCATCTTTCCCACTTGAATGAGCATGGACCTCTGAGCTGAAGGAAGAATCTGAAAAAGGCCTTAGAGTCAGGCCCATTTGTCCCCATGATCAGAGGCTGGGCCAAGCCCTGGGGCTCACCTGGTAGTAATAGTCGTCCAGGCAGGGGTTCTCACTCTGCAGCTGAACCATCTGCACTTTTACCACCCAGTCCTTCTCTTTTCGGGTCATGAGGTTAGCATAGGGGTCTGGCTGCTGAGACCAAGGCTTCGTGGCTGAGGGGCTTCAAGCCAGGAAGAGTGTCTCTTTAGACCTACCACCCCTGCCACAGTCAACTCCCCAAGGAGCAGGATGTCTGGGAAGGTTGGGAGGGACTGCAGAGGGGGCGCCTCATGTGAGAGGCTTGACTCTGCAGGGCACTGAGGGAGGCATCTGGTCACAAGGGAGAACCTGGCATGCAGAGGGCTCCCCTCAGACAGCTCCTCCTCTAGGCTTTACCTTGGTGGTCGACCAAGCTGCTCCTGCTGCTGCTGCTGCTTCAGGATACGTTGGTGCTGAGGGTGCAGCTGGGTCAGATGACTGGGAAGACTTAGAAAGAAACTTGGGCTGGGTGGGAGGAAGCTCTCAGCCCGCCCAACCCTCCATCCCTTTAGCCTCTGGGAACCTCAGCTGGACATCTAGGGACCCTACCTGCTTATGTGGCTCCCCAACTTCAGCCACATGAGCATCACCATCCCAGCTCAGCGAGGCTCACAGACCCTCCATGTTGCCCTGGAATTTAGCTGCAGGATATCTGACACAATAGAAGACCATTTGGCCTGGCTCTCAGGACTTCTGAGCCATAGCCTCAGTTCTGCCATGCCAGCTGAACTCAAAGTGTCTCTGGGCCTCCATATCCTTGTCTGTGAGGGAGAAGGGATTGGACTCTACCTCACACTTCTCTAAGCATTTTTCTGTGGCAGTTGGTAGAGTAGCTGCCAGGCCTCCTCAGCCACTACCTCTTGAGACTTGTGGAGAAGAGCTCAGCCTGTCCTGGACTCTGGGGCGCCCAGCACCCTGAAACAGTACCTGAGCCTAAGGGGCCAGGAGGTGGATGGGCTGCAGAGGAGAGATGGGTCAGGGGAGGGCAGCCGAGGTCCAAAGTGCCGGGCTGGAGAGTGGGCGCTGGGAAAGGCAGGCCGGAAAGGAAGTGGTGCCAGGTAGTCCGGGGCCTGGGAAAGGAATCTCAGGTCTGAGAGAAGGGCACCTCCACCAGCACAAGCCTGCTCTTGCTGCTGTCTTTCTGCCTCGATGGTCTCACCTGCCTTTTCCTTCAGGAAACTCCCTCACCATTTTCGCCATCTTGGGGGTCCCTCAAGCCAGTTGTGAGGACACTAGACTGTGGACCCCGTTCTGTTTCCAACAGGTCTGTCGCCTCCTATGGAGCAGCTCCTCTGTCCCTGACTTGGTGGGGCCTGTGCTTTTCTCATGGTGTGGTGAGTCAGCTCCTCCCCCTTTACTCTCTGACAGTCCTGTCTTCAGCACTGAGGCAATGCTTGTGTCCTTTTTCTGACTCAAATGAAGCCCTTCTCAGAGCTGCAATTCCCTTCTCTTCTCCCTGCTGAATTTCATGCAATTCCTCTATCCCAGACCATGTGCCCCTCATGCAGTTAATTAAAGGGCAGGTGTTCTTTCTTGCCCTAAGCTCAGTGCAGCTCATCTGCTGAAATATTCTGTAAGATGCAAGTAGGGCTCTAGTTTGTCCTTTTCATAGGAAGGCCTGTTCCCCCAGCACCACCTCTGTCATTTCCCAAGCTTCCCTGCATGGTATGCATCTCCCCTCTTCCACACCCACAACTCACTTTGGGTGCTTCATCACCAGAACAATGTCAAGGGCATGCTGAACATAATGAAAATAAGGGACTGGTGACATGCTTCTTCTCAGCATCCAGCCTCATTCTCACAGGATGGAGACTGGAGCGACTCACCTGCCACAGAAACTGCAAGGAGGCAGGTGACATCCCCAGCACAGCAGGGGCCTTGAATCCAGGGGAGCCAAGAAGACCCTTCTGGAATGGGAGGGAGGAAAACTCAGGCTCAAGTAAGCCCCTGTGGCATCTTCTACATTCACATGTGTTCATGGGGGAAGGGGAACAACAGGACCAACCATTTCCAAAACCCAGGACAGAGGCAGTCTGGCCCTCCCCCAATTTCAAGGTCAGCAGGGTCAGGACCCCTCTCCTTCCATGGAAGGGAAGCCAGAGTGGCATCTCAGGAGTCAAGCTGAAGCAGGGTCTGAGTAACCCCATTTCTACATGGAAATCCCTTGTGTCTCTCCACTGGTTGTGGGAATCTGAGGGAATAAATACTGGGGATGAGCTGCAGAGACACAGCGGCCCAGGGTCAGAGATGACTCACTTTCATGACCAGAAGCAGGGCCAGCATCTATGGCTGATGCACAGCCCTGCTAGGACCTGGATTCAAGGTGAAGGCAGCACTAGAAACACGTGGGAGACAGGAGCAAAGAGATAAGGAAAGAGAGAGTCTATTCTGGTTCAAGTCTAAAATGGAAAATACTAATCCAGAATCCACCTAGAAAGGGGTGGAGAAGAGGAGAGGGATGTGTAGCAGGAGTCTGTGAGATGTAGACCGTTCAGGACAACCATCCCCCAACCCACCCCCTGCCCTGGTACCTTGGTGTTATGGACAGCGCTAAGGACAGCTGGATCCCCGAGATCATTCTCCTCCTGCTCCCTTCCCTCCTCCTCCTCCACGTCTGGGGCTAGGTCTGGATCCAGCTCCTCTCCCCCCTCTCCATTTTCTTCCTCCTCCTCCAATTGGGAAGCAGACATCAGCTCTTCCTCAAGAGCCAAGGGGTCACAGGAACTTCCTGGGCCTTGGTTTAAGTGGGGGCCTGAGGAGGAAGTAGACAGGGGCTCTAGAGAGGCTGCTTCTCTGTAGCACTTCTGTTCATAAGGCGTCTCCAGCACCACCTTTGAACATTGTCTCCTGTTCTATGGGTTCAACTCAGCCTTGCTACCCCAGAGGACCCCTAAGTATCCCCCTCCAGAACAAACCCAACCTGGCAGGTGTCACTCATCTTCAGTTTCCTCATCCCCTCTTTCATTGCCTCTTTAGTACCGCAGGCTTCTCCACCTGGTCACCCACTCTGCAGCCTTTTCTGTGCCTCTTTAATCAACTGAGTTCCAGCTGCCCCGACTCAGGGCAATTTAACCCTAGTGTGCCAGGTAGTTTACAAGTATATGTTCATGTAACTCTCACAGCAAACATAGAAGGCTGTATTGATAATTTCTTTCTGAACATGAGGAATACAGGGCCTGCAAAAGCGATCCCAGTCACCCTTGTCCAGCATGATGTAACTTGTAAGTAGAAGAGTTTGGGCTCAATCCCAACTCTGGACACTCAAACCCACATCCATCCACTGAACCAGAACAGCAAGCCTCTGCCCTCTGGGGCAATCATCCACATATCAAAGCCCGCTTGGTGATACTACCTTGAAGGTGCTTCATCCTTGCAGGCTGGTGGACTTGCTCCATGGCTGTTTCCTCTGGTGAGAGAGCACTGTCAGCCTCTAGAAGCTTAACCTAGGATAGTGAAGATACCCTGAGACACTGTCCTCAGTAAGAATGGCCCTGCACCCAAAATAGCCAAGGTCTCCCCCAGCAAGATTGTCAGAGAAGTTTTGGCCCAGATCTCAAGGAGTAGGATGCTGGGCTCTCAGAATGCCCCAAACCCCCACCCTCTGACCTCACTAGTCCAGCTCCAAGGAGCTGTCCTGCAGAGGGACAGAAATGAGGGACAAGGCTAGGAGTTGGAGGGGAAACACTCCCACACAGAACCACCAGCATCCATCTTTGTACAGTGAGGGGGCTCACAGCTGCCTGCTTCCAACACCCACCCCAGAACTGTGGCTGTCCTTTCTCCTTAGCTTAGTCATGGCAGCCTGGGCCAGTGTGGGCTCGTTGCCCCTGGCTTTAAGAGTCCCAGCCCCTCCCCTGCTCCCCTGTTAAAGAGCCAGCATCCCCAACCACTGCATCTTCATAGAAATGTAAGAATGTCATCTTATGGTAAAGAAAACCTTTGAAAGGGCAAAAGAAATAAATAGCATTTTTAACCATTCATGGTTGTGAATACAGTTTAATGGGATCGATATTTGGGAGTAGATATTTAAAAAGAGGATCCCTGTTTCCTCATACACTTAATAGGAACTTAAATTTTGCTCCATGACATTGATAGGAAATCCCTGGGTGGGTCCTGTGTCGATTACCTAGCAGCCGAGTTCTCAGCACTTCAGGCCAGATCTAAGGTCCACCTGGTGATGCTTGACCTTCACTTGGTCCTGTGAGCATAAGTCTGCTACCCATTCCTACTGACGAGGGACCCCTGTGAATGTAGAAGCCAGACCTTCAAGGTAAAAACACTTTTGCATGAGTTACACAGATAATCCCATCTCTTCTTGGATGCTGTAATGGAAAACTGGTTCTGATGCTCAGGAGTAAAAAGAAAAGGAAAAAAAACCCCACAAAAAACAGGACTTCAGGACTGCTGGTAGCAACAGCTAAGACCCATGTGAGCCTCATCAAGCCCCTGAGCGATTCTGGGTTCTGTGCCCACATCCTGTGTTCAGCTGAACCACATGTGACTTTGTAGGACTCCTGAATAAAACTAAAAATGAAGCTAATGTTTTTACATCAAAAATGCTAGTTAGGGCCCCATCATCATGGTTGTATGGCCTTGATTCTTGGTGCCTCTCAAGAAAAAAATTCTTTTCAAAAGTTTTGCTGTAGGTCAGAACTACAGGGGTGAGGGAAAAATTTTAAGTAGCTTGAAAGTTACTGGGACTCTTTTCAAATATCTGAATTGGGTTCAGGCCTTTTTGGTAATGCCATTCAGCTGTTTCTCTCAAAAACTTCCTAATAATTTACCCTGGTATTATTATCAAAGGGCCAAATGATGACTTTCAGTGTTCCAGGGATGGTTCACTAGGCTGTTATGTTCATTAGGCCACTTGCTGCGTACAGATCTTCATTCTGATGAGACCTGCTATACCAATCAGTACCAGAGCGGGTGGACTAGGGCTCAGTCTGCAAGATCACAGCCCTCACTTGGCTGTTTGCAGTTTCACTTGGGACCTAGAGATGTTTGTTCCCCTACCTTTGCCTGAAGTCTTATATGTCTACTGATCCTTTAGATTTTCTAGCTTTCTGCCATAGTTCATGCTAAATTTAAGCCAAACCTGTTCTAGTCTTGGGGCACAGCAGTGAATGAGGCAATGTCACCCAGGGCTTCTTAGAATTTCCCATAATAGAATAAGTAGTACAGGCAGCTTATCTGGATTGTTGAATCAGATAAAAGATACACTAGAAATGTTTACATTTGCTGAATAAAACACCTAAGGACTGATTCACTTTCATGGGGAGATTTTTAATCCTTTACTTCAGTTTCTTTTGATGGTTGCAGATCTGTTCTGGTTTTCAATTTCTTCTTGAAGCTGTTCTATGTATCTTTCAGGAATTTGTCCATTTCATATAAGTTTTCAAATTTATTGGCATAAAATCATTATAGTGTAAGACTATTTTTCAAATCCATGCTGTATCTATACTTTGTCCCCTCTTTTTATTTCTAACCTTATTTATATATTATCCCCTTTCCCCCTTCTTTCCAGAGTTTACCTATTTTATTAGTCTTTTTAAAACAACATACATGAGTGAGGGTTTCTGCAGGAAATAGTACACTCAAATTGGAGAATTTTACTAAAATTAAATTTATTAAGATAGAATTTTAATGAAAAGATATCTATAAATGTATAAAAAGAATGCAGTATGATCATAAGGAATAGTACACCCCCCTTAGACTGTTAATAGTTGGTTGTAACCACTTTAGGGCAAGAGCAAGAGGATGGAGTGGTACCAGCACCTGGACACAAAGGAGGCTGCCTGGCTGGCAGATAACTTCAGCATCTGAGTCCTCTGAGCTCCAGTGTAGCAGCCCTCTCCTAACCATTGCCCTTCTCTCTGAGACCTGGCATCTGCTCTCTCCTCCTGTCTCTTGAGGACCAGGTGTAGTAAAGGCTCCCCATTCTTGCTAACAACAAACAAATAACAATGGTGGGGGCAGGTGTATCGTTACTTATACAAGCTCTGTTTTATGCCTAACAATTATTCTTACATTTTCAAGAGAGTTATAGGTAGAGCTGGTAGCAAAACTAGGTAAATAACATCAATCAGCATCAATGTTTAACACGCACACTTGTTAAACATTACAGATCACTCACTATGTGCTGGGGACTTCCTGAGGCTCTTTCTGTGCTTTATCTCCTTTCATTAAGCCTGTTCAGAGTGTTCTACTTTCTCTAGTTTAGATGCAGACTCCACAACAGGGATTATTAAAAGGTCTAAAAAAATATGTAAAAGAAATCCAGATGACATTTGTTGTGATCTTTGGGGGAAGCACAACCCAACTCCCTAACTGCAAACCAGGGTGATTTCCATGATCTCTGCCTTTCTCGCCCCCGTGGTCCGCTTCCTCTTCTTCAGTTTCACTCAGAAAAGATTCCTGGATGGCAGCAACTTTTTATGTTATCTCCGGAGTATAGGTTTTCTTAACGAGTCTCTCTAACACTGATAGTCTTAGAGTCTGTAGATTGAACATCTTTGGCTGAGCCCGTGGCATATGCAACCCAAATTTTCACTGAAATTGCCGAGCCTTTTCCCCCAAGTGTCTGAAGCATGAACGACAATGGAATCAAGCCAGTTTGAAACCTACTACTAAGCCTTTATTTTCCTATATTAAAAAATTAACAGGGTAATTACTACATCCAAAAATTTATTCACCTATTCACTTACTTGTTCATTCAATCATTAATTCAGTTTACCGAATACCGTGCCCACCACCATTCTAGGGCGGTAACTCGCAGGGAATGATGTCCCTCAACGGGTATGATCTCTAATGCTCTAAGCAGTTACTGCTTTCATACTCAGCGGTCGTTTCCCCACAAATCAACAAAACAGTGAAAACTACCTAAACAACAGCGGTAAAATACAGGGCAGACTTTCTTGACACAGGGCTTTCCAAAAAGGAACTTTTCCCTGAAGGGATTCAGAAAGAAAGTCCTCCTTCACCTTGGACGGTTCTCTGAGCCGTCCTCAGGAGTCCTCGAGTTTCCTGCACTATTTTTCTTGAGAATCCAGAAACCACCGCCTATTCTTGGGTTGTAACTGAATGAAAATCGCAGGCTCCTAACTAGCTGGGACATGGTCAGCAAGTTCCTTCGCATTTCTGGTGCTGCCTGGAAAAGCAAGGGTGCGTCCAGACTGAGGTTCTACGATGGGCGGCCCGTGCCCCGAGCTTGGGCGCGCAACCGAGATGGGGTGGGGGCCGATGTACAGACAGCGAATTGCCCGGTCCAACCCATGCCTTCATAAAGATCACAAGACTAATCAGAAAACGAAACTGAAAACGGGGAAGTCCCT